AACCAATCGCGCTTTCAGGCGTTCAACACTACCATCAGGTAGATACTTAACCATATAAACCCATTTACATCTAACAGCTTGCTTCCTAGGAGGAAGAGCAGTGAGGTCCCAAGTATGATTATGATGAAGGGCAGAGAGTTCTTCTTCCATGGCTCGGCACCACCCTGGAGAGGCAAGGGCTTCCTAGACATCCTTAGGGACAACAACTGATGATAATAAGGTGACAAACTAGCGATGGGAAGCGGAAAGGTGAGTAAGTGAAACACAATTAGAAATAGGATGAAGGGTGCAAGTGCGTTTACCTTTCCGCAAAGCAATGGGAAGGTCAAGCTCAGATGCTGAGTGCGGGTTTGGTGCCGGATCCGTCGACGGAGATGTAGCCGGAGGAGTAGTAGCTGGTGCACGTGGGCGATGTGTATACACATGACAGATAGGTGGGCGTTCAATAGGTGGTGGCACCGGAGGCAAGGGTTTGGTCACGACTGGAACCAAGGGAAGAGGGTCAACAACGGGAAGTGGAAGAGGAGGTGATGAGGAGGAAGAAGCATCATCGGACCCCAAAAAGAACGGAGTAGACTTAAAGAAGGTGACATCAGCACACACAAAGGACCGTCGAGAACCAGGATGGTAACACCTATACCCTTTCTGGGTCCGAGAATAGCCAAGGAAGATGCAGTTAAGAGAACGGGCATCGAACTTGTCATTCCTAGGACCTAGATTATGGACGAAGCAGACACACCCAAATACCCTCGGCGTAAGAGGAAATGGAGACAAAGCGGGAAACAAGACCTGAAACAGAGAATGACCATCAAGGATGAACGTGGGCATCCGATTAATCAGAAAACAAGAGGTAAGCACTGCATCACTCCAAAAGGGTTTGGGAACATGCATGTGATGCATGAGGGATCTTGCTGTTTTCAGGAGATGGCGATTCTTTCTCTCAGCCACCCCGTTTTGTTGTGGGGTGTAGGTACATGAGGTCTGATGTATAATGTCGTGTTGTTCCAAGTATTCCTGAAATGATGAGGATAAATATTCGCGGCCATTATCAGAACGGAAAACTTTGATGTGGGTACCAAATTGGTTACAAATCTCAACATAAATTTTCTAAAAAATGGTAAACAATTCACTTCTTTCTTTCATTAGATAGAGCCACGTCATCATTGAAAAATCATCTACAAAAATGACAAAATATCTGTATCCATTATATGACATCACTTTATAAGGACCCCAAACATC